ACATTTTACACACCAGGACATTAAAAGTATTTTTACAATTTCTCAGTTCATACATGAATGTAAAAAAAAAAGTCAAAATTACAACATGTATCCATGAATACTGCGTTCACGGTTTTTCAACATTAGCACAAAACTTGGAAAAAAGACAAAAGAGGATAAGAAGATACCAAAAATATGTATATCTGTATAAATATAAATCTTAAGAGTAACAAGATTGTATCAAACACAAAGGAGAGAAAAAAAAAACTTAAGTGCTTTAGAGTAAAAAATACAAACTGAAGGTTTATAAAAGCCTTAAGGAAATGAGAGGACAGTCAGTTGAAGATTGTCAGTCGTAACTCTGTAACACAAACATCCAGGAAAACACGACACACACTTTGTGGCATTCGCTCGTTCTGCAGCCGTCTCTGCCCACAGAGGAGGCAGTCCGGGTTAACGAAGACAGAACGACAGACAGCGCTGGGGAACAACGACAGAGCAGCACCAGCCCTTTGATTACTATTAGTGATAATCCTGATTAGTTTGCATCATATTTCTTTCTGTCCTGCAGCTAAACGGCAAAAATGCTGGCTGTGTTTACATGCAGGAAGTCGGCTTCAAACTAGTGCTAAACACTTTCATAAAAACAACAGCAACAAACTGGTTATTTCACATTAAATTATAGCTGCTGTTGTGTAGCTAGCCTGTTAAATGAAATGTAAAAATCAAGCAAAAGACAAATTTGTAAAGCAACTTAGCCTGGGTCTCACACTTTTTAACCTACCCATGTCTGGCTGCAGCAATATGAAGTCAAAATGAAGAAAAGTAAGAGAACAACAATTAAATGTGGGCGTTTGAATCTGCATTAACCCTTTCATGCTTAGTGGTCACTACAGTGGACAGCTGTCTAAAAGCCATTTTCTTGTTCTTCTTGTGGATTTTTATTTTATAAATGCACATAGACCACTGAAATGGACACTAATGCATCATAAAATACACTATCAACTACTGGCCATCAGCTGCAAATGCAAGAAATTATTTTTGTTAAATCCAATATGACCAACAGCCAAAAATGCATGCCAACCGACCCGGTCCCTCCTTCTACTATAGATGACTCTGGCAGGTAAAAATAATATTGTGAGATCAGATAACCTCTAAAGAACAATAATACTGATGTATTTTTCAAATAACAACTTTGGAGAAAATTAAAATTGTTCACCTAAAAAAAAAAAAAAAAAAAATCCCAACTATTTTTTCCTAGCTTTTTTTATGCCTTAAGAAAATCAAAAATAAATTTGAAAAAAAAAATCCTGACACAAAGGATCATAATTCATGCATGAAAGGGTTAAATTGGATGGAAAAGAAAACCTGAGTCCTTGTAATTCTCTGTCCTTGCTCCTCATGTTCTCTGGGTTCTGCTGGTCGGCTTGTTGGTTCTGGATTAGAAGAAGAGGAATGTTTGTTGCATGTGAACACAGTGAAACAGAGCATGCTCTGTCAGACTCCCCACGGCAAAAACAAAAGACAAAAAGAAGTCTTCAGGAAAGAAAAGAAACATACAAAAACAAGGCAGTCTTAAGATTGTGTTGCTTAGGATAGGAAAAAAGGCACATTTACACAAACAAATAGTGATATAAAATCAAAACATTGTCGAGCAAAAGCAAACCAACACACTCTTCTGCAGAGCCATGTTAACCCCACAGCTCCCATCAACCAGGAAACCACTTCAACACCTGTGACTTTCTGATAAAAAAAAAAAAAAAAGTGAGAATAAAGTCTGAAGTTTTTAGGAGCAGTTTGGTTTCAACCGATTTAAGAAAATATAAAAAAAAGTCAGTTCGGCACAATAGAGAGCATTTGCTGATTTGGTGATTGTCAAACAGCGAAACGACGCGAGACGGTGAGAAGCAGAGCTCCGACTCTAACGCGGCGCCGCTCTGCGACAAAGACAGACGACGCTAAGCATTTCGGGATAAATAACAGAGAACGTGTCGAACCGTTTTGAAGCTCCGTGTATTAGAGAAGGCAACCTTAGGATAAAATAACTGAATCCAACCTGCATTAGTCATTTTCATCTAACGTTTCGGCTCCGTCTTCCTCTGAACCGCTCCAGGCTCCGCCGGTCGGGACCAGCCCGGCCGAAGGAGTCCAGAAGCCCCACCGCCCAATGTTCTGCAAACACCCACCACCATTACTGTCATCATCATCATCATCACATTCGCCTACTTCGTCGTCGAGTGGCCACACGTGCTACAACACTCGGTTAGAAACGTTCAGAGCACAAACACTCGTTCTTTAAAACCGTAACAAAAACAGGAGACAGAACACGTCACGAAAATAATATTAACCACAACGATAAGCAGCATCTTCTAACTGATAAAAAGAAAATTATATATTTATATATATATAAATCAATATATTTGTACATTTCTGAACTTCTAAAATGGTATTTTGCGTTTAGAAAACTATATACATGTCATTTTGTATTGCACATAGTCACACTGTCACATGTTTGGTTCGTTTTTCGTGGCCGCCTCCGAAAGCACGACGGGAGGACGGCTAAGATGCAACACAACTGCAGGGGGCTGAGTCTTTGAGAAGGAGCTGGAAATGTGTTCGACTTTGTGAAAATCTCCTTTATGTTTTAGTTTTCGGTTCACGTTTGGATGTTTCGAGATATTTTCTAGTTCTTCTGTGATCAGGCGGCCGAATTAAGTCGGAGTAACGATATCCTCGCCCCCCCGCAGTGAAAAGTTTTAAATGTACGAAAAGAAAACATCTGACGACGAGAACCAGATGCTTGGGTAGAATCTTAAGTGCTAAAGGGTCGCCACACTCTTCGGGGTGGACGTTGTTACTGAACGAAGACTCAAAGTTAGCCGTTTTCAGAGCTATGAGAAGCCATTAAGAAAGGAAACTATTTCCTATGACTTGTGGTTCATTTAGTTCGTATCCCATGAAGCTTTCAACCTTATCTGGTCTGAACTGGATTTGGAAATATTTGGAGCCCTTTTTGGTTTCCCGGGCTAAGTGCTAATACTTCAAAAAATATCACGACTGTAATCATTTAATCTTAGTTTTAAAACAGTAAAACATCTGTTTTTCAGTGACAACTCTCTCTCTCTCTTTATCTCGCTCACTGATGTTGCAGTATAAATAAAGATCATTCATAACAGGAAGACTACAAAACATAATAAAAAACATTTCCTATGTAAGAGTTTTTAAAAAGAAATTGCAATATCGGCAGAGCAAAGCTTTACAAAAACTATGACAGAAATTGGCCACAAAACTGATTGGTGCATTTTTACTGTGTTTGGATATCGGCGCTTCAGGTTATAAGTCCATCCTGATGAGCCTGAGTGTACTTAGTTACAAACAGGGCCGTGTTTTCTTGTAAAAATAAAGAAAATGTCAAACGTAGTTAGAAACACGTGGCCCAATAAGTGCTTACAAAATTTACCTACAAAAAGAAGTTTTCTTCTTTTTTTTTTAAATCACTGCAGTGTTTCAGTCTAGTTCAAAATCAGCTTTTTTTGTGTTTTTAAACCTAATGGCAAAGTCAAGACCGAGCTGAGCTGAACCTTGACAGAATACAGAGCAGAATAAACGTCTCAGTTCAGAGAGGAGGAAACTCCCTGAATTAAATTTGGCACAAAACGAGGCAGGTTCGTCTACGTCCGCTAGATGGCGCTAAACGCTCTGAAGAATACTTTAGTTTCATTGAACACCTTTTCGTTTGTTGAGGACAGCCTGTCCCAGACACTTTGTGAGAGACAGTATCAAAAACACTAATACAGAACAAAGTATTCACACCTTTTTAAAGTTTTTGTCACGTTACCAACACAGACTTCCATGGTTACTATGTGTTAGACCAACACAAAGTGGGGCAGAACTGAGAAGTGGAGGTTTTTTATTTGCAGATTAATCTGAAAAGTGTGGCGTGCATTTGTATTCAGCCCCATTTATTAATCTAGTGCAATCCAAAAAATCCTGACTGTGCAGAAAACTGGCAAGTCTAGAGTTCAGTTTGGAACAAGCCATGCAGACGACCCGAAAACAAAATAAATTATTTGTGCACATCACCTGGGAAACAAACACAACAAAGCAGTACTGACCGGTTTAGATCACAGGTGTCAAACTCCAGTCCTCCACTGTCCTGCAGTTTTTAGATGCGCCACAGGTACAAAACGCTGGAATGAAATGGCTTAATTACCTCCTCCTTGTGTAGAAACTTCTCCAGAGCCTTGCTAATGACCTAATTATTCTATTCAGGTGGTGCAGCAGAGGCACATCTAAAAGCTGCAGGACAGCAGCCCTCCAGGACTGGAGTTAGACGCCCCTGGTTTAGATCAAATCCTACTAATGTGTTAGAATGGCCCAGTCAAAGTCTAGACGTAAATCCAATCAAGAATCTGTGGCAAAAATAAATAATAATAAAATTGTTAACAAATGCTCTCCTTGAAAGCAAAGTCTCCAGCTGGTAAAGATGCAACAAAACTGTTTCAACTCATTGGTTGCGAGTAGAAATGTGTGCCACACTTTTCAGATTTTCATTTGAATATCTCTGTCATTCCACTTCACAATTATGTGCTGCTTTCAGTTGGTCAATCACATAAAATCCAATAATAAACTGAGGTTTGTGGTTGTCAACATGGCAAAAAGAGAAAAAAAAAAAGGTCAAGGTTCATGCACCTGTACGTCCGGGGTTATACTGAGTAAGCGTGGCTGTGCAAGTGAGTCATTGTCTTTTTAGCTTATTTTGCAGAAGCTGTGAAAGAGACGCAATCAGTCCGTAAACAGTTTCCACCTGTCACATCGCTGTGCGTGTAAAGCAGCAGAACAAGAAGCAGTCCTCCAGGTGTTTCAGTCATCCGTAAGACCGACGGTGGAAGGAATGGGACAGGAAACCGCTGGGAGAACCAGACGCAGAAAACCGGTCCTCCAGGAATAATAATAACAATAACAATAATAATAATGATATTCAACTCCCGTCTGCTTCCTCTTGGTTTCTTTCTTTCTGCTGTTAGTTGGTCCCAGATTGGAGGAGATTTGCAGTCAGCCCACCAGGGGGCGATGTGCCTCTCATCCTGCTCCTGCTTTACACAGACATGTTCGGCCTCTCCACACTCTAGACGTACACCGGCTCACACCCCTCCCCTCCCTCTCCTTCCTCTTCGTCGTCTTCCACCTCCTCCTCTTCCTCCGTCTCCTCGCCCTCCTCCGGGCCCGCAGCGGGGACGCTCAGGCAGGCGTCGGCCTCGGGGGGCTTCGGGTAGCGGAAGGGGCAGCCGTGGTCGTCGAAGAACCTCCGGAATGTGAACTCGTAGAAGGCGTGCTCCGGGTGCTTGCCGTGCGGCGAGCAGAGCGCGTCCAGGGCCCGGGTGCTGTCGCTGCTGTCACTCCACGACCCGGGGCCCCCCTCCTCCTCCACGGGGTCAAAGTTGGACGTGTCCATGGGGTGGGCGATCTTGGGCCGGTAGGGAGCCGGCTGCTGGCGCAGGTTACTGGAGAAGTCCACCTCGGAGAAGAAGGGGTGGGCCTTGATCTCGCCGGCGCCGTTGGCGCCCAGACGCTCCTCGGCAGAGCAGCACAGCCGACCGATGATATCCACGGATTCTGGGCTTAGCTTGACCTGCGGCGGCACCTGGAGGGTGCTCTCCCAGTTGATGACCTGCAGAAGTGAAGGTGCAGGTGAGGTTTACTCTCACTTAACTGTCATTAAAAAGAACAAAACTCTGACCTGAACCTTCAGAGTCGCATAAAGACAGTTACAAAGTCGGCCTTCCATCACCTGAAGGACAATTCCAGGACTAGAGGACTTTTGTCTCAGCGAGATCTAGAGAAACTCATCCATGCGTTTATTTTTGGTCATCATTTAAAAACTGCCTTTTAGGTTTTCTTGACTAATGTTTAAATTAGTTTGATGCTCTGAAAAACTCAAGTGTGACAAATGCGTAAAATAATAGGAAGCAAAAGGAAAAATAGGATGGTTTTTTTACACTATTGTGCATACGGTGGACTTTGGAACTAGGGCTGAAACGATTCCTCGAATGATTCGAGTACCTCGATTACTAAAAT